AGCGTTGGTATAACATTTAGTGTCTATTTTCTTCTCTAGATGACTCACTAGAGCAAATGCTCTCATTTCCCTAGTACACTGTATTCATTTACCTCCAGCTACTTAATAATACTCATATTGCTAGGATGCGCAACTGTGAACCTATCTCTCTGCTGTGATTTCTTCAGAGTCAAAAGCACTACTTTATGTCCTTTTCTTCATCACCCACCAGGTTGTCTGACACAGAAAATTCAAAAGTGTTAGCAGAAAAGAGTTGAACTAAGCATCAGTGAAATGCCCTTCTACCGCAATCTAATCAAATACAAGCAAAACAAGCAACTGTTTCCACAGTCTACCAATTTCTCCTAAGTTTCTGTTGATGTGAGGCTGCTGTGACTTCCCACAGCTTACTTGGTCTAGTCTTATTGCCTTTTCCTTTCATCTCAATATTTTCCCATCCTGGGCAGTTTGCTTCTGCTGCTCTGACATCCTTGAATGTTGCTTTGTTTCTAGAGGACCCCTGAGATGTTTTTTTTTCTTCTCCCCAAACCATCTAATTCAATAATCTATTTCTCTTTTGAATTATTCATTTGCAAGTCATTCTTTGTGACAATCTACATTTTTGACGTGGAAAGTAAACAGAAATCTGGTACTTTCTCAAATGATCTAGCCCTTCAGTTTCTTAAACTCTGTTCTATTTCTCCAGATTACCCTTGTTTTGTTAGTGCCGCTTTTGCTGTTTAGTTTCTACACTAAATACACAAGTCTGTGCAGCATGATTTGTAATCTCCACACAATCACAGTGTCAATCATGACTTTTTTCAGCTGTCTAGGGAAAAATGTGATCCAAATATTCCCTGCAGTATTTTCTATCTTCTTTTCTTCCTTTATAATAACCTTTGAAATACAGGATGTCCTAAAAAGAAAACTTATAGATATATGTAAAATTGCTATTTTATGAAAATTATAATTTTATTGAAGCATATATGAGAATAAGTATAAGTGATTAGTAATTTACAAGTGGTTATATTTAATCTCAGAGACTGAGACCAATCTTGGATAGTCAATATTTATGTATGACATTATAATTCTATATAATCATTGTAATTTATGGGATATAAAATAAAATTGAAATTTTTTCTGTTGAAAGCCCATTGTCTGTGGTTGCCCATTATAAGAAAAAAAAATCAGTAAATAGAAACTGGTAACCACAAAGTCAGAGTCAATAAGACAGCACGGCACTGCAGCGTGGGTGGTGTATGGAGTGCAAGTACTGGGTGTAGAACCACTGGGTAGGAACTTCTGCCGATAGCTGGCCTGGGTACAGAGGAGCCACCACAATGACCTCAGACTGCCCAAGTGCCACCACAAAGCCAGGTAAAGTGAAGCTATTGCTCATTTTGCTCCTCTTCTCTGTCCTTCTATCTATGGCTGCTCCTCAGTTATAAATAGACACCAATCTCACCTCCTAAAATAAGCACCTTCTTGTTCCATTTTCCATTTAATTCTTGTTTGTTACTTTATTCATTCAACCAACATTGACTGGATATGTTTACTGGGCCAGCCACTAACTTATACCCAGAAGAATGTCCCCATTGTGCTGGTATTTTGCTTTCCACTTCTGACTCAAAAATCTTAGCTTTCACTTCTCCTCTTTTCCAGTAACAGCTAGATTAGTTTGCATTATTTATCGTGGTAACAGCCTCTTCTAAATGAAATGTGCATACCATATAATCCACACATTTATACGCCATCCAATTGTTTTCCTATATATTCACAGACACATACATTTCAGAGCACACTTACTTTGATCTGTCAGAGGTCACTGCAGCTGGTGGTGATCTAAAAATGGAACAGAAGAAGGTCAGCTGGCAAAGGGAAACCAGTTGTGTGCCTAGAGGTGACAGCAGATGTGTGCTTAAATCAGGTCCAAAGTGCAAGAGAGAGTGCTAGGATTGACACACTCAGAGGCTGATCGGTGCTAGATCCGCAAATGGGGTTATATTCAGTCTTCATAAAGGAGATTTTGCAATTTACTATGACATAGATAAAATGAAAAACATTATGTTGAATGAAGTAAGCCAGTAAAGAAAAGAATTCTGTGTGAACCTTTATCTGTGAAATCTGAAAGGAGTTAAATATGTTGAGCAGTGGTTACTGGGAGTGGGGAGGGGAGACAATGAGAAGTTGTTGGACAAGGATGTTATTTTACTAAATGAATTTTTAGAGTCTATCAGGCACACCAGTGATTAGTCTCTGGGACAGTTTAATTTATGATGAGAATATACTAAGGAGGAAAATTTATAGTTGTTTTTATCAGAACAAAAGTGGAAAAAAAGATATGGAAACCATTTGGATGGATGGATGTCATTCTTGTAGTGATCACTAAATTAAGTATATGTAGATTAAAAACGTCATTGATGTGCACACTAAATATATAAAACATTTATTTTAAAATAGCATACATTTCAATAGTATGCAAAGAATTTCAAGGAGGAAACTTTATTTCCCAAATGGGCCATCAACACCTAATTTCTTCTTTGCATTTACTCCTTGTCTCTGGGTGGCCCTGTTCTGACAACAGTTTTGCAGGGGGCATTTTCCTTTATGGCTCTGTTTCCTCTACCTACTAGATGATGACATTTCATCAGGTGTAACTCTCTTTATTCTGTTGCTTCTTTCATGTCAGATAAGACTTCTGGTCAATTTCATTTTTTATCGTTAATGACTAAGAAGTCATCTCTAGCCCAATCCTACTACATCCTTGTCTTTTATTTACTTATCTATGTGTTGAACATTTCTGGCTCTGGGGTTATTTATTTATTAGTTACTGACATCATTAATTTAGACTTTTAGATATTCATGCAAAACTTGCCCTGAATTTTTCCAGGTAACCTTTGGGAAATAATATTTAAATTTAGAATTAAAGAGTAATAAAACATTTTGGATGTTTTGTGGGGGGAAGGAGTGATGATAAAAATAATTGATGATGGCTGATTTAGATATTCAAAAAAGAAAGCACACAAGTTAAAATGCCAAATATTTAACGAGGCATTGGAGAGGAGAATGTATGGGAGAGCATTAAAGATTCTGAGATCTCATTCTCCTGATAGGACAGGAGGCCATCAGCCCCCATGGTGTGAGGTGCAGAAAAGAATCAGCAGTCTCTACAAGAGCAGTTCTCTAGGAAGGGTTTTGAGATCTTTATGAAACATATTTGTGCTTCCAGAGACGAAATAAGAACCATTTAAGCCCTGAAAATTCAGTACACTCATGACTCAAAATTGTCTACAGATGGCATCCTACCACCTCAGGCAAAGGGGTTCCCATCCCACATCTGAAACCCAAAGGCTCCACTCTGTATTTTCAGTCCATGGATTCTTGCCAAATCTCAGATCCATAGGCTCCGCAGTGATTCTAACGTCCATAGCTCTCACTCTGCATCTCAGGACCCCAGGTTCCCTCGCAACCTCTCAGACCCATAGTCTCTGCCCTGCATCTCACGTGCATATCTCAATCCATAGGATCCTGACTATATCTCAGTCTCTCACACTCTAGCCCAGGTTCACAGATTCTCACCCTTCATGTTAGGCCCATAAGGTACCACTGCATATATCAGATTCATACGTCTATGGGTTCCTATCCAATACCTCAGATTCCATCCCTTCAGAGTTAGCGATGCCCCATTAGCACAGAGCGATGATGGGAAAGAAGATCCAAGAGTGTGACACTTGGAAATAGTACTCAGATTTATTCCTCAGGTTTTTTTATTATTAATTAATTTATTTATTTATAAAAATTTCCACTTCCTCCCCATACCCTTCCATTCCCCCCACTCCCTCTCCTCCTCCCCCCCACTCCCTCCCCTCTTCCCTCTCCAGTCCTAAGAAGAGTCAGGGTTTCCTGCCCTGTGGGAAATTCAAGTTCCTCCCCTCTCCCTCCAGGTCTAGAAAGATGAGCATCCAAACAGACTAGGATCCCAGAAAGCTAGTACATGCAGACAAAACAAGACCCAGTGCCAGTGTCAATGGCTTCTCAGTCAGCCCCCATGTCAGTCACATTCAGAGAATCCGGTTTGATCACATACTCGTTCAGTCCCAGTCCAGCTGGCCTTGGTGAGCTCTCATTCGATCAGTCCCCTTGTATCAGTGGGTGAACGCACCCCTCGCGGTCCTGACTTCCTTCTTCATGTTCTCCTTCCTTCTGCTCTTCATTTGGACCTTGGGGGCTCAGTCAGGTGCTCCAATGTGGGTCTCCGTCTCTATCTCCATCTATCGTCAGATGAAGGTTCCCTCTAGTCCTGCCTTTCTTGCTCACGTTCTCCCTCCTTCTGCTTCTCATTTGGACCTAGGGAGTTAAGTCTAGTGTTCCAATGTGTGTCTCTGTCTCTATCTCCATCCATCGCCCGATGAAGGTTCTATGGTGATATACAAAATATTCATCAGTATGGTTTTGGGCCAAGGCCAGTTCAGGTACGCTCTTCTCTGCTGCCCAGGGAACAATCTGGGGACCTCTTCTTGGGCCTGGGAACCCCTCTAGAATCAAGACTCTTGCAAACCCTAAATTGGCTCCCTTAGTTGAGATATATACTTCCTTAGTCCCATATCCATCCTTCCTCCCCCCATCCCATTCCCCCAAGCCATCCCCAATCCTCCACCTCTCCCTTCTCTCTAACCATCTCCCCTTACTTCCACCCCCCAACCCCGCCCCCTCTGCACCCAAGTTTGCCTGGCAATCTTGTCTACTTCCAATATCCAAGAGGATAACTATAAGATTTTCTTCATGTTCACCTTCTTATTTAGCTTCTCTAGGATCACGAATAATAGGCTCAAAGACCTTTAATTATGGTTAGAATCCACTTATGAGTGAGTACATACCATATTCCTATTTTTGGGTCTGGGTTACCTCACTCAGTAAAGCATTTTCTATTTCCATTCATTTGCATGCAAAATTCAAGATGTTATTGTTTTTACCGCTGAGTAAAACTCTAATGTGTATATGTTCCACACCTTTTTTAACCATTCTTCTATTGAGGGGCACCTAAGTTGTTTCCAGGTTCTGACTATTACAAATAGTGCTGCTATGAACATAGTTGAACAAATGCTTTTGTAGTATGATAGGGCATCTCTTGGGTATATTCCCAAGAGTGGAATTGCTGGGTCCTGAGGGAGGTTGACTCCCAGTTTCCTGAGAAACCGCCACACTGATTTCCACAGTGGCTGCACAAGTTTGCATTCCCACCAACAGTGGATGAGTGTTCCCCTCACTCCACATCCTCTCCAGCATAGGCTATCATTGGTGTTTTTGAGTTTAGCTATTCTGACAGGTGTACTATGGTAGGTATCTCAAAGTGGTTTTGATTTGCATTTCCCTGATCGCTAAGGAGGTTGAGCATGACCTTAAGTGCCTTTTGGCCATTCGAAGTTCATATGTTGTGAATTCTCTGTTAGTTCAGTACCCCATTTTTTAATTGGGTTAATTAGAGTTTTAGTGTCTAGTTTCTTGAGTTCTTTGTATATTTTGGAGATCAGACCTTTGTCTGATGAAGGGTTGGTGAAGATCTTCTCCCAGTCGGAAGGTAGCCTTTTTGTCTTACTGACAGTGTCCTTTTTGATAAAAAATGAATACTTTCATTATTTCTTTCATTATTATTTTCATTATTTAAGTCTTTTGACTATTCAAGTATTGAAGCTAGAATACAACCTTGTCAATTAGTCTACACTGTCTGTATATTGCTCTCTAAAATGATGACTTTTAAGAAATAGACATTCTACAATTGTAGTAATCAATGTTACCTGTAATAGTATAGACTATACCCACAAATTTCTCAAGTTGTATATAAAATGTAAGGACAATCACTTCAGAAAGCAAAATATAAGCAAGAATCAATGGCTGACTGCTCAGGAACAGACTTGGTGGGGGGCCCCGTTTGAAGCATCAATTGTCACACACAAAAGAGCAAAAACTTTCCATTTTTGATCTCTTGTTCACAGTGAAACGTCATCAGACACTCACCAGCCTCTGAAGCACTTCTGTGAGGAATTAAGTCCTCATGCCAACAGCCAATGGAACATAAAATTCTCCTTCTAAAATGCACTGCTGTGACAAATCATGAGAGCAGTTTCTCCTGGCCCTGCTGGATTCTCCAGATAGCGACAGCCCATGGAGACTCTCAACGGCAGCCTCCATAAACTCTTTAAATCAGAGCTACCTTTCCATGGCACCTCCCGGCAACAGAAGTCAGGTAATGACTGAGGCTAACTGCTGTGAACCTCTAAATGTTGGGCCATTTTTAATGGAGCAACTGACAACTAAAGACCTCCATAGAAACTTCATATTCATATTCATGAGTGATGGAGTGTTTCTTCCTTCTATCATCAAACTTTTCATCTTGACATTATTATGGCAGTTTATGAAATATGTGAGCAACAGAATCCCTCAATCAGTCCCATTTTAAAAGTTAATTTCCTAGGTCAACTCTAGGTAACATATTCTGCATCATTTGCAAACCAAGAAGAATTTACCACAAGGGCAGTTCACAGAACAAAATAAAATATAGAGATACAGCAAGGAATAAAGGATCAGGAAGAAATATTTATGCATTGGGGGACTAAATCATAGGAATCCTTTATTTCTGCTGAACCTACAGTGTTAAGTCTGTGATCCAAAGAACATTGTGTCTGTGAGAAGGGGAAAGTGAGGGGAATAGGATGCTTGAGTTTTATTTTTCCTCCCACTTTAACAGGATCTTTTATAGCATTATATTGAATAAAGTCAATTAGAATCGTATCTCCAGTCAGGAAATTGGTGAGGAGAAGAGTAAAGTTGGTGCCATTTTCATGCTACTGTGACAAGCTCCCATGGATTGAACAACCTAGAAAGGGCAGAAATCTGTTTCTAACAGATATGGTGTCAGTAAAGGCACCAGTTGAGATGAGCTGATGGGTTGAGTAGAACTGTGTCTCCTGAGGGCTCTTTTCCCTCATATAGCTCAGTTCTGGCCTCGTGATCTACTCACCTTCCATGAGCTTCTCTCTTCAAGGTTTCATTTAGCGAATTATATTTGCACATGCCTGGTTAAAGTTCCTCACTGAATATCTATAATCAGTGTAGTAATAAGGAACGGCAGGCTGTATTCCAGCCCGGATCCTGGCTACTTCAGCCCTGAAATAATTACACGGAAATTGTATTCATATAAACATTGTTTGGCCCATTATCTGTAGCCTCTTATTGGCTAACTCTTACATATGGATCTAACTCATTTCTAATAATCTGTGTAGCACCACGAGGTGTTGGCTTACCATGAGGATTCTAATCTGCAGCTGTCTTGGAAAGGAGAGTCATGGTGTCTCCCTGCCTCTGCTTTCTTTCTCCCAGCATTCTGTACTTTTTACTCCGCCTACCTATGTTCTAACTTATCAGTCCAAGCAGTTTCTTTATTAATTAGCCAATGAAAGCAACAAAAACACATAAGACTCTCCTACATCATCATCAGCACCAAAATAACAAGTGCTGAATGCTTATTTCAAACAAGATAAGTCATTCAGTACCCTCATTTCACAATGGGTATACACAGAAGGAAATAAAAAGCCTTCCACATTAATTTTTATATGGAAGTCAGAAATGTGAATTTCAGAAGGGGAAAAATAACAAGAATAGGTTGCTGCTTCGTTTGTTCATATTTGTGATGTAGTTCAGAATGCACAAATAGCAAACTGAAAAATATTAATAAAATTAGTATCACACCCCAAATTTCTCAGGATGTTTTATCCATGAGTACTTCATAACAAGTATATCCATTACCAAGATACTAATATACACAAAGATAAAAACAATGAAATTAATCATTTCTGAATTTTTATTGAGTAGCATCAATTGAGTAGCACATCTCATAAAATCTTTTATGTTATCCTATTCTTTAATAACTGAAAGAGGTTTCTTCTCCCAATAAAAGACTGGGAAGCTTCTAAGTTGCTTTTTCTGAAGAGCAAGCAATGGGTGTGCCAGAATCGGAGAAGCACTTTGTATTCCTGACTCCTTTTCCAAGCGCCGACCCATTCATAAACCATTATGGAATACTCTCAAGAGAGAAATGAGACTCTGAAACATCAAAAAGTTCTTTTGATCTAGGGAAGACTTTAGTAGCATGACACATAACATGTTTAATTGCCTAATGGAATGAAAAGGAAGTAAGACTAAGCAGAATTATTTTAAAATGCTCATAGTCTAGTTAGGGAAGGTTACATTGCACTTTTTCTTTCACTGTGCCAAAGCCATGGTAAACTAGCATTCTGAATACCTTAGCATCTATAGCTAGCTATAGAATTGTAACTGAAGTCCTGACTGATAAGAAATATTTACTAAGAGGGCTGGATCTGGGCCGAATTGAGATTTGATATCTGTATTTTAATTCCTTTACTGATTTCATAAACCAATCTTCTTTAGCATCGACCCTCTAGAAATTTATTACCTAGAGTATTAAGGGAAGTATTAATTACCTTCCATTTTATAAAAAAGATATTCAGATATCTTCTGTGCTTTTATTCTCTTGTAATATTCTGAGCCTTGACTTCACACAGAATGTATGAACACCAAAGTTACAATAGGTGCTGCAGCTGTCGAAGCCCTGCCTCAAGGATTTCACAACAGAAATGACACATAAGAAACATAATAAAAATTCAATGTGATAAGAAAGGTGGAAACTGTTCAAAGAACATCTCACAGAAAAAAAGAAACAAGAAATATATACAAATATGTGAAGTGGAAAAAAATACTCTTGAGGGCCAAAGAAAAGGCTCGGGAAGTAAAAACACTAACAGTTGTCATTTAAGTCTGATATCTCAGCTCCTGAATAATGTCCTATCTTGATATATGTATGTACATACACATATGTATACACACACACACAAATAATAAAAAGCACAATATCATATTAACTTTTAAAAATATAAATAAGTCTTGGAAGTTATTACAAGCCACGCTATGGATGTTTATAAAAGTAACTAATCACCATCATACTTTCTAAATTAACTAATCACCTTTAACATACAAGATCATTTTTGCAAAACAATAAAATGGAATAAATGTAAGTTCACTAAGTTATTTATCTCAAAGTCATAAAACTGCAAATGAGAGATGAGTGAACGTACTGAGGGAAGAATGTTTCCTAAATATACAACCAGAAAAAAATGGCGTGCAATAGAAAATGGAGATTAAATGCAGGATTCTGTACTCCTTGGGTCTTTCTATAACTACTCTGAAAATGAATCTCCAACATCACAGATTATCCTGAAAGAAAATCAAAAACAACTCTGTTAATCTCTATTGTAGACCAATTAGCCCTACCATAAATTCACAGAATATCTTATCCAACAAAGAAAAATGCATATTCTTCTCAATGGAACATTCTACAAAATAGAACATGCAAATCTACAAAATGCCTTTCAAGTTCCTAAAAATTAAATTTACCATAGCTAAGAAATGGGAGAGAGAATGCCCAAATCTAAGTGTGCTTGAAAGAAAGACATCAAAGCTGATTCTACAGAAATGGAAAAGACCATGACAGATTAGTAGGAACAATTTCTTGGAAACAATTTTAATAATCAAGTAGTTATCAACAAATTTTTAGATATATAGAACCTGAGCCTGGCAGATAGAAAATACAGAAGTTTGAAACATGTAAGAATAAGTCAATTATAAGATGGACTGTTATTGCAGGAAATGTTTCATGAGCTGGCACAAAAAGCCACCTATCTGGTTTTTGATGACCATAGATGTCCTCTACAGCACCCTGGCAAACTGATTTTGACAGCCTCTCAAAAGAACTGTTCTCTGTGACTAAGTTGGATGTTTTCCAGGGATTCAAGGTTAGTTTAAAAAAGATAAATCTGTAAGTGTGCTACATTATTGAAATGAAAGTAAACACCAATATAATGATTTATCAACATGAAAAAATCATAAAGCAAAATTTAGTATCTTTCTGTCAACAAATCAGACATGTAAGAAATATGTTTCAGGTCAACAAAAGCCAGTATTCTGAAATAGCTAATTCAGAGAAAGCACCATATACTCTAATAAAGGTAGAAAAAAAATGTTCCCTAATAATAAGAATGAGACAAGAAAGCACAGTATTGCCCTTCTATTCAAAATACTACAGAAAATCCCAAATAAACAGTTAGGAAAAGAATACTATCAATGCATTCAAATTGAAAAAGAAAAAGTTAACCTGTCCAGGATTCCATACAATGTGATCGCATATACAGAAAGCTTTAAAAATTTCAAGAGAGATCTTTGAGAACTAATCCATTCAGTCTTAGCATATACAATCAACATGTAAAAATCAGTTTCATGTATATATGTTAGCAATTAACTAAGAAAAAAAAATTCTGAAAGCAATTTCAATATCAATAACTATAAAATAATACCTATAAATACTTATGGATCTATTCAGTGAAGGATCTATACATGGAAATGTCTTAAATATTCATGAGTGTTTGAGAAGAGAACTTCATGGAGAACAGAAGAGTGCCCTCTGCACAAGAGCACCTGAGTGTGACTCTCTGGCACTCAAATACTATCAGAACCCAGGCTTCATGTGCTTGTATACAGTATTAGAGGTGGTGACAGAGACAGCTGGATCTCAGGGGCTCACTGGCTAGTCATTCTGACCCAAACAGCAAACTTTCAGTGAAGTAAAAGAACCTGCCTCAAGACAATGTGTTGGAAAATGCTCACCCAACATCCTCTTCTTGATTCCTCATGCATGAGCACAAGCATGTGCATCCACATGCTCACATCCATGCACACACAACAAATAAATTGAAACACGTTTAAGAAAGTAACTTAAGGGAACACAGGGCCAAAGAGCATATTATGCATGTCTTGGAAAAATTAATATTTATAAAATGTCCTGGTGTAGGAGTTCCTTCTATTTATGTGTTATTTTCATTGGATGAATAAAGAAACTGTCTTGGCCTAGTTGATAAGACAGAACTTAGGTAGGCAGAGTAGACAGAACTAAATGCTGGGAAGAAGGGCAGAGTGACAGATGCCATAGATCTTCTGCCTGAGACAGAATCTTGTCAGTAAGCCACAGTCATGTCGTGATACACAGATTAACATAAATGGGTTAAATTAAGATGTAAGAATTAGCCAATAAGAAGTTAGAGCTAATGTGCTAGGAAGTGTTTAAATAAATATAGTTTCTGTGTCATTATTTTGGGTGTAAAATAGCCAAACGGCCAGGACAACAAGCAACCCCCTCCTCCTGTTACAAAGTGGTGCCCCACATGGGGCACCAAGTGAAGGCAGAATGATTGGATGCTTAACAAAAAGG